CCCAAATTCCCCCAGATTCACTGAACCTGGGCACCCCAAATCCCCCCAGACCTGGGCACCCCAAATTCCCTGAACCCAGACCCTTCAACCCCCCCATGCTGGGTTCCCCAGTACCCTCCCAGTTTAACCAGTACCCCCCCACTCCCCCCAGTTTAACCAGTACCCCCCCCTCCCAGTCCCCCCAGTTTAACCAGTATTCCCCCATTCCCAGTTTAACCAGTACCCTTCACCAGTACCCTCAGTTTAACCAGTACCCCCACAGTTATCCCAGTTTAACCAGTACCCTCCCAGTTTAACCAGTACCCCCCCCACTCCCCCCAGTTTAACCAGTACCCCCACAGTTATCCCAGTTTAACCAGTACCCCTCCAGTTTAACCAGTACCCCCCCCAGTTTAACCAGTTCACCCAGTTTAACCAGTACCCCCTCCCAGTCCTCCCAGTTTAACCAGTACCCCCCAGTTTAACCAGTTCTCCCAGTTTAACCAGTACCCACACTCCCCAGTGCCCCAGTTTAACCAGTACCCCTCCCAGTTTAACCAGTATGCCCCATTCCCAGTTTAACCAGTCCCACCAGTTTAACCAGTCCCCCCCATTCCCAGTTTAACCAGTCCCCCCCCCCAGTTTAACTAGTACCCCCCAGTTTAACCAGTCCCCCCATTCCCAGTTTAACCAGTCCCCCCATTCCCAGTTTAACCAGTCCCCCCCAGTTTAACTAGTACCCCCCAGTTTAACCAGTCCCCCCATTCCCAGTTTAACCAGTCTCCCCAGTTCGCCCAGTCCCCCCAGTTTACCCAGTCCCCCCCATTCCCAGTATCTCCCAGTTTACCCAGTTCCCCCCCCCCCCGTTCCCAGCGAGCCTCCCGGGCAGTGAAACCACCTCAGTTTAACCAGTCCCCCCCAGTTTAACCAGTCCCCCCAGTTCTCCCAGTTCCCCCAGTTTACCCAGTCCCCCCCATTCCCAGTACCTCCCAGTCCCTCCCAGTCCCCCCCATTCCCAGTCCCCCCCCATTCCCAGTTCTCCCAGTCCCCCCAGTTTACCCAGTACCTCCCAGTCCCTCCCAGTCCCCCCGGTTTACCCAGTCCCCCCCATTCCCAGTTCTCCCAGTCCCCCCCATTCCCAGTTCTCCCAGTCCCCCCAGTTTACCCAGTACCCTCCCAGTCCTTCCCAGTCCCCCCAGTTCTCCCAGTTTACCCAGTCCCCGTTCCCAGCGAGCCTCCCGGGCAGTGAAACCACCTCAGTGAACACCGAGACCGTGGGCGAGGAGGAGGCGCCGCCGACGGCCTGCGAGCGCTGCCTGTGAGACCCCCGGGACCCCCGAGCCAGGGACACCCGAGAGACCCCCGAGAGACCCCCGAGAGAGCCCCGAGAGAAGACCCCCGAGAGAGCCCCGAGAGACCCCCGGGACCCCGAGCCAGGGACACCCGAGAGACCCCTGGGACCCCCGAGAGAGCCCACAAACCCCCGAGAGAGACCCCCGAGAGACCCCCGAGCCAGGGACACCTGAGAGACCCCTGGGACCCCCGAGCCAGGGACACCCGAGAGACCCCCGGGACCCCCGAGCCAGGGACACCCGAGAGACCCCCGAGAGACCCCCGAGCCAGGGACACCTGAGAGACCCCCGGGACCCCCGACCCAGGGACACCCGAGAGACCCCCGAGAGACCCCCGAGAGACCCCCGGGACCCCCGAGCCAGGGACACCCGAGAGACCCCCCGGGACCCCCGAGAGAGCCCACAAACCCCCGAGAGACCCCTGGGACCCCTGAGAGACCCCCGGGACACCTGGGACACCCCACAGACCCCCGAGGGACCCCCGGGACCCCTGAGAGACCCCCGGGACCCTCGGGACCCCCGAGAGACCCCCAGACCCCACAGACCCCCGGGACCACCCACAGACCAATGGGACCCCGGGACCCCCGACCCAGGGCCCCCGAGAGACGCCAGGGACCCCCGACAGACCCCCGGGAACCTTCACAGACCTCAGGGACCCCCGAGAGACCCCCAGGACCCCCAACAGACCCCCAGGACCCCCACAGACCCTGGAGAGATTCCCAACAGACCCCCGGGACCCCCAACCCAGGGACACGGCCCGGACCCCCCCGAGAGACCCCCGGGACCCCCGAGCCAGGGACACCTCACAGACCCCCAGGACCCCTGAGAGACCCCAGGGACCCCCGGGACACCCCCCAGACTCCAGGGACCCCCAAGAGACCCCCAGGATACCCCCAGACCCCTGAGACACTCCCTGGGACCCCCAAGAGACCCCTGAGAGACCCCCGGGACCCCTGGGACACCCCCACAGACCCCCCGAGAGACCCCACAGACCCCTGAAATCCCCCCCAGATCTGTGGGATGCCCCCGGGACCCCCGAGAGACCCCCAGAATCCCAGGGACCCCCACCCCCCAGATCACTGGGACACCCCACAGACCCCAGGACCCCTGAGAGACCCCCCCAGACCCCCGGGACCCCGAGACACCCCCAGACCCATGGGGCCCCTCACAGACCCCTGAGAGACCCCCGGGACCCCTCCAAAGACCCCCGAGAGGCCTCTGAGAGACCCCCGGGACCCCCCCCCAAAGACCCCCGGGACCCCCGAGAGACCCCTGGGACCCCCCAAATTCCCTCCAGGACCCAAAATCGACCCCAGCACCCAATAAAGCCCCCTGAGACCCCAAATTGACTCCAAGAGCACCTCAAAGCCCCCTGAGACCCCTCCAGAGCCCCACAGATCCCCCAAATTCCCTCCAGGACCCCAAAACCAACCCCAGCACCCCAATAAATCCCCCCCCATGGCTGAGGGAATCCCCCAAAATCCCCACATTTTGGGGTAATTTTGGGGTAATTTTTGGTTTTTTTCTCTCCTCAGGGGCAAAATTACCAAGACAAAATTCTGGTGAGCGGGGAGAAAAACGGGGGGAATGTGGAAAAATTGGGGAGAGACCCTAAAATTCCCAACCCATCCCTAAGTGGGTCTAAGGGAAAGGTTTTTACGGGAAAAATCGGATTAAGGAAAGGTTTTTATGGAAATATGGGTTTAAACCCATTTTCGCAAAATATGGATTTAAGGGAAAGATTTTTTTATGGAAAGATGGGTTTAAGGGAAAGGTTTTTTACCAAAATAGGGCAAAAAATATGATTTTAAAAAACCCGGGTGTGGCGGCTTTGGGTGAGGTTTTAGGGCTGGGTTGAACTTGGAGATTTGGAAATTTCATTTAATTTTGTGTGACCCCAACCCAAACCCCCCTCACCCCCTCCTGTGTGACCGGGGGGGATTTTCCTGTCCCCTCCCCCCGTGTCCCCACCGTGTCCCTCGTGTCCCCCATGTCCTCCCCATGCCCCCCGTGTCCCCCTTGCCCCAAACCCTCTCTCTGTCCCGTGTCCCCCTTGTGTCCCCCGTGTCCCCCCCCGTGTCCCCTTGTGTCCCCTGTGTCCTCTCCATGTCCCCTCCGTGTCCCCCCCGTGTCCCCTTGTGTCCCTCGCTGTCCCGTGTCCCCCTTGTGTCCCCCGTGTCCCCCCCATGTCCCCTTGTGTCCCTCGCTGTCCCCCGTGTCCCCCTTGTGTCCCCCGTGTCCCCCCCCGTGTCCCCCTTGTGTCCGTGTCCCCTCCGTGTTCCCCGTGTCCCCTTTGTGTCCCGTGTCCCCCGTGTCCCCCTTGTGTCCGTGTCCCCTCCATGTCCCCTCCGTGTCCCCCTTTGTCCCTCGTGTCCTCGCTGTCCCCCGTGTCCCCCCTTTGTCCCTCGCTGTCCCCCGTGTCCCTGTGTCCACCCCGTGTTCCCCCCATGTCCCCTGTCCCCCCCGTGTCCCCCCTGTCCCCTGTGTCCCCTTTGTCCCCAAACCCTCTCGCTGTCCCGTGTCCCTCGCTGTTCCCCCCGTGTCCCCTTTGTCCCCCGTGTCCCTCGCTGTCCCCGGTGTCCCCCCTTTGTCCCCACCCCCGTCACTGTCCCCTCTCCCCGTGTCCCCTTTGTCCCCCTTTGTCCCTACCCCCCGTGTCCCCCGTGTCCCTTGTGTCCCTCGTGTCCCCCGCGTGTCCCCCCCGTGTCCCCGGTGTCCCCCCTTTGTCCCCACCCCGTCGCTGTCCCCGTGTCCCCCCGTGTCCCTCGCTGTCCCTCGCTGATCCCCCGCGTCCCCTTTGTGTCCCCTATGTCCCCCCCGTGTCCCTCGCTGTCCCCGGTGTCCCCCCTTTGTCCCCACCCCGTCGCTGTCCCCGTGTCCCCTTTGTCCCCACCCCCGTCGCTGTCCCCGTGTCCCTCGCTGTCCCCGGTGTCCCCCCGTGTCCCCACCCCCGTCGCTGTCCCCGTGTCCCCTTTGTCCCCACCCCGTCGCTGTCCCCGTGTCCCCCCGTGTCCCCACCCCGTCCCGTCCCCGCAGCCGCCGCCTGCGCCGCCTGAACCGCCTGTGGCGGCGCCGCTGCCGCGCCGCGGTGAAATCCGTGTCCTTCTACTGGACCGTGCTGCTGCTCGTGTTCCTCAACACGCTCACCATCGCCTCCGAGCACCACGGGCAGCCGCCCTGGCTCACCGAGACCCAGGGTGGGCACCCCGAGATCCTACAGGGCACCCCGAAATCCCACAGGGCACCCCGAAATCCTGCAGTGCCCCACAATGCCTCCCGGTGCCACCCGACAGCTCCCAGTGCCTCACAAACCCCCTGGGACGCCCGGGTATCCTACAGGGCACCCCGAAATCCTCCAGGACCCCCGGATATCATCCAGGGCACCCCAAAATCCTCCAGGACCCCCGGGCTGTGTCCCGTCAGTGTCCCCATCACCCCCAGAGCTCGGGGGTCCCATCCCGCCCTCCCGAGGGTGACCCGGCTGTGTCCCCCGGTGTTCCCATCACCCCCAGAGCTCGGGGGTCTCATCCCACTCCCGATATTTCTCCTGGGGGGTGACCCGGCTGTGTCCCCAGAGCTCGGGGGTCCCATCCACCCTCCCTGGGGGTGACCCCCGTGTGTCCCCAGAGCCCAGGGGTCCCATCCCGCCCTCCCTTGGCGTGACCCGGCTGTGTCCCCTGGTGTCCCCATCACCCCCAGAGCTCGGGGGTCCCATCCCACCCTCCCGAGGGTGACCCGGCTGTGTCCCCCGGTGTCCCCCCCATCGCCCCCAGAGCTCGGGGGTCCCATACCACTCCCGATATTTCTTCTGGGGTGTGACCCGGCTGTGTCCCCCAGTGTCCCCCGTCACCCCCAAACCTCGGGTGTCCCATCCAGCCCTCCGGGGGGGTGACCTGGCTGTGTGCCCTCGGTGTCCCCATATCCCCCAGAGCTCGGGGATCCCATCCCACCCTCTCAGGGGGTGACCCACGTGTGTTCCTCGGTGTCCCCATCACTCCCAGAGCCCGGGGGTCCCATCCCACCCTCCCGAGGTGTGACCCGGCTGTGTCCCCCATCACCCCCAAACCTCGGGAGTCCCATCCCGCCCTCCCTTGGTGTGACCCGGCTGTGTCCCCAGAGCTCGGGGATCCCATCCACCCTCCCTGGGGGTGACCCCCGTGTGTCCCCCGGTGCTCCCCGTCACCCCCAGAGCCCGGGGGGGGGTCCCATCCACCCTCCCTTGGTGTGACCCGGCTGTGTCCCCAGAGCCCGGGGGTCCCATCCCGCCCTGCCGGGGTGTGACCCGGCTGTGACCCCGCTGTCCCCCCCCAGCCTACGCCAACAAGGCGCTGCTGTCGCTCTTCGCGGCCGAGATGGTGCTGAAGCTCTACGCGCTGGGCCCCTCGTGCTACTTCGCGAGCTTCTTCAACCGCTTCGATTGCTTCGTGGTGTGCGGGGGCGTGCTGGAGACCGCGCTGGTGGAGCGCGGCGCCATGGAGCCGCTCGGCATCTCCGTGCTGCGCTGCGTGCGCCTGCTGCGCGTCTTCAAGGTCACCCGGTGAGGGCATGGTGAGGGGACAGCGCGGGGACAGGGTGGGGACAGGGTGGGGATAGTGTGGGGACAGTGCGGGGACACACAGCGGGACACACGGAGACAGCGTGAGGACATGTAGTGGGACACACCGACACCGGGACGGAGCGGGGACAGAGTGGGGACACACCGACAGTGGGGACACACCGACAGTGGGACACACTGACAGTGGGACACACCAAGACCGGGATACCCTGACACTGGGACACCCTGACACTGGGACACCCTGACACTGGGACACACCGACACCAGGACAGCGCGGAGACACGCGGGGACACACCGACAGTGGGACACACTGACACTGGGACACCCCAGCACTGAGACATCTCAGTGCCCCAGCAACGGGACACACCGACAGTGGGACACCCCAGCACTGGGACAGGGACACGTCAGTGCCACACACTGGGACACACCAATGGCAGGACACCCTGACACTGGGACACACTGACACCGGGACAGCATGGGGACAGTGCGGTGACATGTCAACAGTGGGACACGCCGACAGTGGGACACACTGACAGTGGGACACACCAAGACCGGGATACCCTGACACTGGGACACCCTGACACTGGGACACCCTGACACTGGGACACACCGACACCAGGACAGCGCGGAGACACGCGGGGACACACCGACAGTGGGACACACTGACAGTGGGACACACTGACAGTGGGACATGCTGACACCAGGACACACCGACGCTGGGACAGCGCAGAGACACGCAGTGTGTTGGCTCTGAACTGTCCATCCAGCCCTTCCCAGTGCTCCCAGTAACCCCAGTGCTCCCAGTCCATCCCAGTCCCTCCCAGTGCTCCCAGTAACCCCAGTATCCCTCAGGCACTGGGCATCCCTGAGCAATCTGGTCGGCTCCCTGCTGAACTCCATGAAATCCATCCATCCCTTCCCAGTCCATCCCAGTCCCTCCCAGTGCTCCCAATCCCTCCCAGTCCATCCCAGTGCTCCCAGTCCCTCCCAGTGCTCCAAATCCCTCCCAGTCCATCCCAGTGCTCCCAGTAACCCCAGTATCCCGCAGGCACTGGGCGTCCCTGAGCAATCTGGTCGGCTCCCTGCTGAACTCCATGAAATCCATCGCCTCGCTGCTGCTGCTGCTCTTCCTCTTCATCATCATCTTCGCCCTGCTGGGCATGCAGCTCTTCGGGGGCCGCTTCAGCTTCGACGAGACGCAGACCAAGCGCAGCACCTTCGACACCTTCCCGCAGGCCCTGCTCACCGTGTTCCAGGTACCCCGAAAACGGGGGGACCCCAAAACCTGGGGGAGACATTTGGGATACCCCAAAACTTGGGGGGAACCTTTTGGGATATCACAAAACCTCAGCGAGACCCCACAGACCAAGCGCAGCACCTTCGGCACCTTCCCGCAGGCGCTGCTCACGTGTTCCAGGTACCCCGAAACCCCAGGGGGACCCCAAAACCTGGGGAACCTTTAGGGGAATTTAGGGGAACCCCAAAACCTCAGGGAGACACCCCCAGGCCCTGCTCACCGTGTTCCAGGTATCCCCAAAACCTGGGGGGCACCTCAAAACCCGGGGAACCTTTAAGGGAACCCCAAAACCTCAGGGAGACCCTCCAGGCCCTGCTCACGGTGTTCCAGGTACCCCAAAACATCAGGGGGACCCCAAAACATGGGGGAACATTTTAGGGTACCCCAAAACCTGGGGGGAACCTTTTGGGGTACCCCAAAACCTCAGGGAGACCCCACAGACCAAGCGCAGCACCTTCGGCACCTTCCCGCAGGCGCTGCTCACCGTCTTCCAGGTACCCCGAAAACGGGGGGACCCCAAAACCTGTGGGAGACATTTTGGGGTATCCCAAAACCCGAGGGGAACCCCCCAGGTGCTGTTCACCGTGTTCCAGGTATCTCAAAAACTGGGAGGTACCCCAAAACCTCAGGGAGACCCCAAAACCTCAGGGAGACCCCAAAACCTTCAGGGTGTCCCTGAGATCCCAAAGAAAACCGCAAAACGCAGGGGGGACCCCAAAGCCATGAGGAGACCCCAAAACCTGGGGGGAGCCTTTTGGGTAACCCCAAAACCTGGGGGGGACCTGGGATGGCACTGAGGTTTTGGGGTGCCCTGGTTTTTGGGGTGCCCTGGTTTTTGGGGTGCAGATCCTGGCGGGCGAGGACTGGAACGCAGTGATGTACGATGGCACTGAGGTTTTGGGGTATAACTGAGGTTTCGGGGTGCTGAGGTTTTTGGGGTGACACTGAGGGGTGTCATTGATGTTTTGGGGTGCCCTGGTTTTTGGGGTGTTACTGACGGGTCTCACTGAGGTTTTGGGGTGTCGCTGAGGTTTTTGGGGTGCAGATCCTGATGGGCGAGGACTGGAACGCGGTGATGTACAATGGCACTGAGGTGTTGGGGTGGCACTGAGGGGTGTCCCTGGTTTTGGGGTGTCCCCATTTTTGGGGTGTCACTGAGGTTTTTGGGGTGCAGATCCTGACGGGCGAGGACTGGAACGCGGTGATGTACGATGGCACTGATGTTTTGGGGTATAACTGAGGTTTTGGGGTGACACTGAGGGGTGTCACTGAGGTTTTGGGGTGTCCCGGGTTTTGGGGTGTGACTGACGGGTCTCACTGAGGTTTTGGGGTGCCCCGGTTTTTGGGGTGCCCCGGTTTTGGGGTGCAGATCCTGACGGGCGAGGACTGGAACGCGGTGATGTACGACGGCATCATGGCCTACGGCGGGCCCGTGTTCCCCGGGATGCTCGTCTGCGTTTACTTCGTCATCCTCTTCATCTGCGGCAACTGTGAGCGCCCAACTGGGGAAACTGGGAGCACTGGGAGGGACTGGGATGGACTGGGAGGGGACTGGGATGGACTGGGAGGGACTGGGAAATACTGGGATGATTCTGGGAGCATACTGGGAGGATACTGGAAGGATAATGGAGGATACTGGGAGGATACTGGGAGGATACTGGGAGGGTGTTTGGGGACACTGGGGGGCACTGGGAGGATACTGGGAGATACTGGGGGTACTGGGAGCACTGGAGGTACTGGGAGGGACTGGGAGCACTGGGAGGATACTGGGAGGATACTGTGGGTTACTGGGAGCATACTGGGAGCCGTGGGAGGGACTGGGGGCACTGGGATGGACTGGGGGCACTGGGATGGACTGGGCCATACTGGGCCATACTGGGAGCACACTGGGAGCACACTGGGCCATACTGGGATATACTGGGCCATACTGGGAGCACACTGGGCCATACTGGGCCATACTGGGAGCACTGGTGCCCCCTCCCCCCTCAGACATCCTCCTCAACGTCTTCCTGGCCATCGCCGTGGACAACCTGGCCGACGGTGACAACATCAACTCGGGGGGGGACAAAAAGTGAGACCCCTCCCCAAACCCCCGAGACCCCCGGGACCCCTGAGACCCCTTTGGGGGGGTCCGACCCCCGGGACCCCCTTGGACTCCTTTTGGGAGTGATGGGGAGGGGTCCCCACATCCCTTGAGACCCCCAGGTCCCCATTTGGGGTGATGGGGAGGGGTCCCCAATCCCCTGGGACCCATTTTGGGGGGTCTGACCTCCAGGACCCCCGGGAGCCCTTTTGGGAGTGATGGGGAAGGGGCCCCCCAATCCCTGGGACCCCCGGGACCCCTTTTGGGAGTGATGGGGAGGGGTCCCCAATATCTGAGACCCCCGGGACCCCTTTTGGGGGTGATGGGGAGGGGTCCCCCAATCCCCTGAGACCCCCGGGACCCTTTTTGGGGTGATGGGGAGGGGTCCCCACATCCCCCGGGACCCCTGGGACCCCCTTTTGGGGGGGGTGCGACCCCCGGGCTGAGCCCCCCCTTTGTCCCCAAACGCAGGGACAAGGCCGGGGAGGAGGGGACAGGGACAGAGAGCCAGGAGGTGGCCGTGAAGGTGAGGGGGGGTCCCGGGGGTGACAGGGATTTGGGGAGGGGGTGACATTGATTTGGGGGGGTCCTGGGGGGGTGACATTGATTAGGGGGTCCCAGGGGTGACATTGATTTGCGGGGGGTCCCAGGGGGTGACATTGATTTGGGGAGGGGTCCTGGGGGTGACATTGATTTGCGGGGGGTCCCAGGGGGTGACATTGATTTGGGGGGGGTCTCTGGGGGTGACATTGATTTGCAGGGGGTCTCTGGGGGTGACATTGATTTGGGGGGGGTCTCTGGGGGTGACATTGATTAGGGGGTCCCAGGGGTGACATTGATTTGGGGGGGGTCTCTGGGGGTGACATTGATTAGGGGGTCCCAGGGGTGACATTGATTTGGGGAGGGGTCCCGGGGGGGTGACATTGATTTGGGGGGGGTCTCTGGGGGTGACATTGATTAGGGGGTCCCAGCGGTGACATTGATTTGGGGGGGGTCCCAGCGGTGACATTGATTTTGGGGGTGACAGTGACTGGGGGGGGTCCTCACCCCCCTCCCCCTCCCCAGGTTGAGGGGGATCCGCAGGAGGAGGAGGAGGAGGAGGAGGAGGAAGAGGGGGAGGAAGGTGAGTGTGACCTGCATGGGGGACACTGGGGACAGTGGGGACATTGGGGGGTGGCAGTGCCTGGGGTGGGGTCCCTGCAAGGGGGGAAGGTGACACACGGGGTCCCCGCAGGTGACACGGGGAGGAGGGGACACGGGGGTCCCTGGGGTGTGACAATGGCTGGACACGGGGGGAGGTGACACGAGGGTCTCTAGAGGGGAGGGAGGTGACACGGGGGTCCCTGGGAGGTGACACGGGGGTCCTTAGGGAGGTGACAATGGCGGGACACGGGGGATGTGACACGGGTGTCCCCTCAGGTGACACGGGGACACTGAAGGGGGATAACGTGACACGGGGAGGTGACACGGGGGTCCCCGCAGGTGACACGGGGGTCCCTTTAGGGGGGGATGTGACACAGGAGGAGGTGACACAGGTGACACCGGTGTCCCTGAGGAAGGGGAGGTGACACAGGTGACACAAGGAGGTGACACACGGGTGTCCCCGCAGGTGACACGGGTGTCCCCAGGGGGGGGATGTGACACACGGGTGTCCCCGCAGGTGACACGGGTGTCCCCAGGGGGGGGATGTGACACACGGGTGTCCCCGCAGGTGACGAGGAGCCCGGGGGGGACAGGGACAGCCTGGGCAGGGCCCGCCTGGAGTCGCTGGAGGAGCCCCCCAAGACCAAGGTGACCCCGATCCCCGAGGGCAGCGCCTTCTTCGTGCTGAGCAGCACCAACCCGTGAGCACTGGGAAACTGGGGGAACTGGGGGAACTGGGGGGACTGGGATGGGAACTGGGAGGGACTGGGAGGGACTGGGAGGGACTGGGGGGACTGGGGGGACTGGGGGGACTGGGGGGACTGGGGGGACTGGGATGGGAACTGGGAGGGACTGGGGGGACTGGGGGGACTGGGGGGACTGGGGGGACTGGGATGGGAACTGGGATGGGAACTGGGAGGGACTGGGGGGACTGGGAGGGACTGGGAGGGACTGGGGGGACTGGGGGGACTGGGGGGACTGGGGGGACTGGGATGGGAACTGGGATGGGAACTGGGAGGGACTGGGGGGACTGGGGGGACTGGGGGGACAGGGATGGGAGCAGCACCAACCCGTGAGAGATTGGGGAAACTGGGAGGGACTGGGAGCACTGGGGGGAACTGGGGGGACTGGGAGCACTGGGGGGAACTGGGGTAACTGGGATGGACTGGGGAGACTGGGGACTGGGGGGGTTGGGATTGGAGACACAAACTGGGAGAACTGGGGGGACTGGGATGTACTGGGAGGGACTGGGGGGAATGGGATGGACTGGGATGTACTGGGAGCACTGGGAACTGGGGGAACTGGGCTGTACTGGGCTGTACTGGTCTGAACTGGTCTATACTGGTGTGTACTGGTCTATACTGGTGTGTACTGGTGTGTACTGGTGTATACTGGTCCATACTGGTCTGTACTGGTCCATACTGGTCTGTACTGGTCCGTACTGGTCTGAACTGGTCCCTGCCCCCCAGGCTGCGGGTGAAGTGCCACGCGCTGATCAACCACCACATCTTCACCAACCTCATCCTCGTCTTCATCATCCTCAGCAGCATCTCCCTGGCGGCCGAGGACCCCGTGCGGGCCCACAGCCCCCGGAACCACGTACTGGGAGCACTGGGGCAAACTGGGAGGGACTGGGAACCACGTACTGGGCAAACTGGGCAAACTGGGAGGGACTGGGAACCACGTACTGGGAACACTGGGAGGGACTGGGAACCATGTACTGGGCAAACTGGGAGCACTGGGAGGGACTGGGAACCACGTACTGGGCAAACTGGGAGCACTGGGAGGGACTGGGAGGGACTGGGAGAGGGCAAACTGGGAGCACTGGGGGCGTTACTGGGAGCGCTGGGAGGCATTACTGGTGTGTTACTGGGAGCACTGGGATGTTACTGGTTTGTTACTGGTGTCTTACTGGGAGCACTGGTGTGTTACTGGGAGCACTGGGATGTTACTGGTGTGTTACTGGGATGTTACTGGTTTGTTACTGGTGCCTTACTGGGCGCACTGGGAGCACTGGTGTCCCCCCGTTCCCCCCTCAGATTTTGGGGTACTTCGATTACGCCTTCACCTCCATCTTCACCGTGGAGATCCTGCTCAAGGTGTGGGGGGGGTCCCCAGGGGTTTGGGGTTCCCAGGGGTTTGGGGGGTTCCCAGGATGGTTTTTGGGGTTCCCAGGATGATTTTGGGGGTTCCCAGGATGGTTTTTGGGGGTTCCCAGGATGGTTTTTGGGGGTTCCCAGGGGTTTGGGGGGTTCCCAGGATGGTTTTTGGGGTTCCCAGGATGATTCTGGGGGTTCCCAGGATGGTTTTTGGGGGTTCCCAGGGGTTTTGGGGGTTCCCAGGATGGTTTTTGGGGTTCCCAGGATGATTTTTGGGGGTTCCCAGGGGTTTGGGGGGTTCCCAGGATGGTTTTTGGGGTTCCCAGGATGATTTTGGGGGTTCCCAGGATGATTTTGGGGGTTCCCAGGATGGTTTTTGGGGTGAGTTCCCATGGTTTTGGGGTGCCCCACAGATGATGGTGTTCGGAGGGTTCCCGGGGTTTTTGGGGTGAGTTCCCAGGATTTTGGGGAGGGGGTTCCCATGGTTTTTGGGGTTCCCAGGATGGATTTTGGGGTGCTCCACAGATGACGGAGTTCGGGGGGTTCCCAGGATGGTTTTTGGGGTTCCCAGGATGATTTTGGGGTTCCCAGGATGATTTTGGGGTGCCCAGGATGGTTTTGGGGTGCCCCACAGATGACGGTGTTCGGGGGGTTCCCAGGATGATTTTGGGGTGAATTCCCATGATTTTGGGGTGCCCCACAGATGATGGTGTTTGGGGGGTTCCCAGGATGATTTTGGGGTTCCCAGGATGGATTTTGGGGTGCCCCACAGATGACGGTGTTTGGGGGGTTCCCAGGATGATTTTTGGGGTTCCCAGGATGAATTTTGGGGTTCCCAGGATGGTTTTGGGGTGGGTTTTTGGGGGTTTTGGGGTTCCCAGGATGATTTTGGGGTGAATTCCATGATTTTGGGGTGCCCCACAGATTATGGTGTTCGGGGGGTTCCCAGGATGGTTTTTGGGGTTCCCAGGATGGTTTTTGGGGGTTCCCAGGATGATTTTGGGGGTTCCCAGGATGGTTTTTGGGGTGAGTTCCCATGGTTTTGGGGTGCCCCACAGATGATGGTGTTCGGAGGGTTCCCGGGGTTTTTGGGGTGAGTTCCCAGGATTTTGGGGAGGGGGTTCCCATGGTTTTTGGGGTTCCCAGGATGGATTTTGGGGTGCTCCACAGATGACGGAGTTCGGGGGGTTCCCAGGATGGTTTTTGGGGTTCCCAGGATGATTTTGGGGTGCCCAGGATGGTTTTGGGGTGCCCCACAGATGACGGTGTTCGGGGGGTTCCCAGGATGATTTTGGGGTGAATTCCCATGATTTTGGGGTGCCCCACAGATGACGGTGTTTGGGGGGTTCCCAGGATGATTTTTGGGGTTCCCAGGATGAATTTTGGGGTTCCCAGGATGGTTTTGGGGTGGGTTTTTGGGGGTTTTGGGGTTCCCAGGATGATTTTGGGGTGAATTCCATGATTTTGGGGTGCCCCACAGATGACGGTGTTCGGCGGGTTCCTGCACAAGGGCTCCTTCCTGCGGAACTGGTTCAACCTCCTGGACGTGCTGGTGGTCGGCGTGTCCCTCATCTCCTTCGGCATGCAGTGAGCAACTGGGCAAACTGGGAGCACTGGGAGAGCCCATGGGGGCAACTGGGAGCAACTGGGAATGCTGCTGGGGGCAACTGGGAGCACTGGGAGGGGCCAGGCTCAACACTGGGAGCACTGGGAGGGTACAAGGAACCTCACTGGGAGCACTGGGAGCACTGCTGGGGACAACTGGGAGCACTGGGGCCGTTACTGGTGTCTTACTGGGAGCACTGGGAGCCCTTACTGGGAGCACTGGTGTGTTACTGGGAGTGCTGGGGGGGTTACTGGTGCATTACTGGTGCCTTACTGGGAGCACTGGGAGCCCTTACTGGGAGCACTGGTGTGTTACTGGGAGCACTGGCGTGTTACTGGGAGCACTGGTGTGTTACTGGGAGCACTGGCGTGTTACTGGGAGCACTGGTGTGTTACTGGTATGTTACTGGGAGCACTGGCGTGTTACTGGGAGCACTGGTGTGTTACTGGTATGTTACTGGGAGCACTGGCGTGTTACTGGGAGCACTGGTGTGTTACTGGTATGTTACTGGGAGCACTGGCGTGTTACTGGGAGCACTGGTGTGTTACTGGGAGCACTGGCGTGTTACTGGGAGCACTGGTGTGTTACTGGTATGTTACTGGGAGCACTGGTGTGTTACTGGTGCATTACTGGTGCCTTATTGGGAGCACTGGGAGCCCTTACTGGGAGCACTGGTGCCTTACTGGGAGCACTGGTGTGTCACTGGTGTGTGTCACTGGTGCCTTACTGGGAGCACTGGGGTGTTACTGGGGGGTTACTGGTGTGTTACCGGTGCCTTACTGGGAGCACTGGTGCCTTATTGGGAGCACTGGGAGCCCTTACTGGGAGCACTGGTGCCTTACTGGGAGCACTGGGAGCCCTTACTGGGAGCACTGGTGCCTTACTGGGAGCACTGGGAGCCCTTACTGGGAGCACTGGTGCCTTACTGGGAGCACTGGTGCCTTACTGGGAGCACTGGTTTCCCCGGCAGCTCCAGCGCCATCTCGGTGGTGAAGATCCTGCGGGTGCTGCGGGTGCTGCGGCCCCTGAGAGCCATAAACCGGGCCAAGGGGCTCAAGGTGGGAACTGGGGCAACTGGGAGGGACTGGGAGGGACTGGGAGCTGTCCCTGTCCCCCCACTCTGGTGACACCCCTGTCCATGCCCTGGTGACACTGTAGCTGTCCCTGTCCCCAGCACGTGGTGCAGTGCGTGTTTGTGGCCATGCCCTGGTGACACTGTCGCTGTCCTTGTCCCTGTCCCTGTCCCCGTTGTGTCCCCAGCACGTGGTGCAGTGCGTGTTCGTGGCCATGCCCTGGTGACACTGTCCCTGTCCCTGGTGACCCTGTCCCTGTCCCCGTTGTGTCCCCAGCACGTGGTGCAGTGCGTGTTCGTGGCCATGCCCTGGTGACACTGTCCCTGTCCTTGTCCCTGTCCCTGTCCCCGTTGTGTCCCCAGCACGTGGTGCAGTGCGTGTTCGTGGCCATGCCCTGGTGACACTGTCCCTGTCCCTGGTGACCCTGTCCCTGTCCCCGTTGTGTCCCCAGCACGTGGTGCAGTGCGTGTTCGTGGCCATGCCCTGGTGACACTGTCCCTGTCCCTGGTGACCCTGTCCCTGTCCCCGTTGTGTCCCCAGCACGTGGTGCAGTGCGTGTTCGTGGCCATCCGCACCATCGGTAACATCATGATCGTCACCACGCTGCTGCAGTTCATGTTCGCCTGCATCGGGGTGCAGCTCTTCAAGGTGACCCCGCTGTCCCCAAACCCCCCTGAGGTGTCCCCAAACCCCATTGAGGGGTCCCCAACCCCCTCTGAGGGGTCCCCAAACCCCCCCGGGGGCTGAGGGACCCCCCGATCCCCCCAGGGCAAGTTCTACAGCTGCACGGACGAGGCCAAGCACACGCCGGGAGAGTGCAAGTGAGCGCCACCCCAAAACTGACCCCGTACCCCAAAAACGACCCCGTACCCCAAAAGACCTCATACCCCAAAAACGAATCCGTGCCCCGAAAACGACCCCGCACCCCAAAATGACCCTAGACCCCCAAAACAAACCCACACCCCAAAAACCACCCTGCACCCCAAAAATTACCCCACACCCCAAAACGACTCTGCACCCCAAAAACCACCCCGCACCCCAAAAACACCCCGTGCCCCAAAAAGGACCCTGCACCCCAAACTGAGCCCTGCACCCCAAAAACCACGCCACTGTCCCCATGTCCCCACCCCAGGGGGACATTCCTGGTGTACAAGGACGGGGACGTGTCCCACCCCTCAGGGGTGGCAGTGTCCAGGGGTTGTCTCACCCTCATGTCCCTGTGTCCCCACCCCAGGGGGACATTCCTGGTCTACAAGGACAGGGACGTGTCCCACCCCTCAGTGGTGGCAGTGTCCCCATGTCCCCACCCCAGGGGGACATTCCTGGTGTACAAGGACGGGGACGTGTCCCACCCCTCAGTGGTGGCAGTGTCCCCATGTCCCCACCCCAGGGGGACATTCCTGGTCTACAAGGATCGGGACGTGTCCCACCCCTCAGTGGTGGCAATGTCCCCATGTCCCCAATCCAGGGGGACATTCCTGGTCTACAAGGACAGGGACGTGTCCCACCCCTCAGTGGTGGCAGTGTCCCCGTGTCCCCACCCCAGGGGGACATTCCTGGTCTACAATAGTGTACATTCCTGGGTGGCAATGTCCCCATGTCCCCACCCCAGGGGGACATTCCTGGTGTACAAGGACGGGGACGTGTCCCACCCCTCAGTGGTGGCAGTGTCCCCATGTCCCCACCCCAGGGGGACATTCCTGGTCTACAAGGATCGGGACGTGTCCCACCCCTCAGTGGTGGCAGTGTCCCCATGTCCCCACCCCAGGGGGACATTCCTGGTGTACAAGGACGGGGACGTGTCCCACCCCTCAGTGGTGGCAGTGTCCCCATGTCCCCACCCCAGGGGGACATTCCTGGTGTACAAGGACGGGGACGTGTCCCACCCCTCAGTGGTGGCAGTGTCCCCATGTCCCCACCCCAGGGGGACATTCCTGGTGTACAAGGACGGGGACGTGTCCCACCCCTCAGTGGTGGCAGTGTCCCCATGTCCCCACCCCAGGGGGACATTCCTGGTGTACAAGGACGGGGACGTGTCCCACCCCTCGGTCCGGGAGCGCCTCTGGCTCAACAGCGACTTCAACTTCGACAACGTCCTGGCGGGGATGATGGCGCTGTTCACCGTGTCCACCTTCGAGGGGTGGCCCGCGTGAGTCCCCGGGGGTGGGCGGGCACGGGGACACTGCCACCCCCTTGGGGACACCCCCAGCACCGTGTGTCCCCCCCCCCCCCGTCCCCAGGCTGCTGTACAAGGCCATCGACGCCAACGCCGAGAACCAGGGGCCCATCTACAACTACCGGGTGGAGATCTCCATCTTCTTCATCGTCTACATCATCGTCATCGCCTTCTTCATGATGAACATCTTCGTGGGCTTCGTCATCATCACCTTCCGCGCGCAGGGCGAGAGCGAGTACCGCAACTGCGAGCTGGACAAGAACCAGGTCTGGGGACAGGCTGGCCGTGGTCCTGTGGTGTCCCCATGGCCCTGTGGTGTCCCCATGACCCCTGTGGTGTCCTCATGACTCTGCAGTGTCCCCATGGCCCTGTGGTGTCCCCTTGGCTCTGCAGTGTCCCCTTGTCTCCATGGCCCTGTGGTGTCCCCTTGGCTCTGTGGTGTCCCCATGGCTCTGTGGTGTCCCCTTGTTCCCATGGCCCTGTGTGTCCCCATGGCTCTGCAGTGTCCCCATGGCTCTGCAGTGTCCCCTTGTCTCTGTGATGTCCTCTTGTCTCCATGACCCTGCTGTGTCCCCATGGTTCTGCAGTGTCCCCTTGGCCCTATGGTGTCCCCATGCCCCTGCCGTGTCCCCTTGGCTCTGCGACGTCCTCATGGCCCTGTGCTGTCCCCATGGCCCTGTGCTGTCCTCATGTCCCTATGGTGTCCCCTTGTCTCCATTGCCCTGCTGTGTCCCCTTGGCTCTGTGGTGTCCCCTTGGGTCTGCAGTGTCCCCATGGCTCTGCAGTGTCCCCATATCCCTGTGCTGTCCCCATGGCCCTGTAGAGTCCCATGTCCCTGTGCCATCTCCATGTTCCCACAGCAGCAGAGTGCAGGGACAGAGGGGTGGCAGTGTCCCCTCACTGTCCCCACGCTGTCCCACACTGTCCCCACCCGTCCCCTCACTGTCCCCACGCTGTCCCCAGCGCCAGTGCGTGGAGTACGCTCTGAAGGCGCAGCCGCTGCGCCGCTACATCCCCAAGAACCGCACCCAGTACCGCGTGTGGGCCATGGTCAACTCCACGGCCTTCGAGTACATCATGTTCGTCCTCATCCTCCTCAACACCATCGCCCTGGCTGTGCAGGTGAGGGGGGGACACACCTGGGGGGACAGGGGACATGGAGGGGACAGTGCCAGACCACCGTGTGTCCCTTCACAGCACTACGAGCAGTCCAAGCCCTTCAACTACGTGATGGACCTGCTCAACATGGTGTTCACGGGGCTCTTCACCGTGGAGATGGTGCTCAAGATCATCGCCTTCAAACCGCGGGTACGGCACAAGGGGGGTGACAAGGGGGTGACACAAGGGGGGGGGACACAATGGGGTCCTCACCACCTCCCACCCCACCCCAGCATTACTTCTGCGACGCCTGGAACACCTTTGATGCCCTCATCGTGGTGGGCAGCGTGGTGGACATCGCCGTCACCGAGGTCAACGTGAGTCAACCTCCTTGTCTCTCCTGGTTTGGGGGGGTTGGTGTTTTGGGGTGGTTCTGGATGTCTGGGTCTCCTCCTGGTCCATGTCCTCATGTCCATCTGTCTCTCTCCATCATCTCTGTTATTTCCATCTCCATAATTTCCATTATCTCCATAATTTTCATCTCGATCATCTCCCTTCATCTCCATCACCTCCATCATCTCCATCATTTCCATTTCCATCATCTCCATCATTTCCATCTCCATCATCTCCATTGTCTCCATCATCTCCATCTGTCTCCATCATCTCCATCATTTTCATCGCCATCATCACCATCATCACCATCATCTCCATAATTTCCATCAAGTCCATCATTTCCATCTCCATCATCTCCATCATTTCCACTCTGTCATCTCCATCATCTCCATCTCCATCATCTCCATCATCTCCATAATTTCAATCTCCATCATCTCCATCATCTCCATCCATGGTCCCACCTGCCTCTCACAGAACGGGGGCCACGTTGGTGAGGTACAAGGAGCTGTCCCCACCTGGGGGCTTTGTGTCCCCACCTGGGGGCTTTTGTGGGGGGTCTGCTCAGGTATTTTTGGGGTTCCCCTGACCCCCCGTCCCCGCAGAGCTCCGAGGACTCCTCCCGCATCTCCATCACCTTCTTCCGCCTCTTCCGTGTCATGCGCCTGGTCAAGCTGCTCTCCAAGGGCGAGGGCATCCGCACCTTGCTCTGGACCTTCGTCAAATCCTTCCAGGTGGGGCGGGGGGCACCTGCGGGGGACACAGGTGAGGGGGGACACGGAGGGGACACCCCCTGACCCTCTGACCCCCGCTCCGTCCCCAGGCCCTGCCCTACGTCGCGCTGCTCATCGCCATGATCTTCTTCATCTATGCTGTCATCGGGATGCAGGTGAGGGACCTGGGGCAGGTGAGGGACCTGGGGCAGGTGAGGGGACAGGTGAGGGCTTTGGGGGCCAGTGAGGGGGTGTGGGGGCAGGTGAGGAGTCTCTGGGGGCAGGTGAGAGGGCAGGTGAGGGGGTCTGGGGCAGGTGAGGAGGGCTCTGCGGGCAGGTGAGGGGTTCTGGGGCAGGTGAAGGGGTCTGGGGGGTGTCAGGGGCGCAGGTGAGGGGCTCTGGGGGCAGGTAAGGGGGTCCGGGGGCAGGTGAGGGGTGTGGGGCAGGTGAGGGCTCTGTGGGCAGGTGAGGGATGTGGGGAGGGGTCTCCTGTGAGCCCCCAGCCCCCTGTGTCCCCCCCAGACCTTCGGGAAGGTGGCTCTGCAGGACGGGACCCAGATCAACCGCAACAACAACTTCCAGACCTTCCCCCAGGCCGTGCTGCTGCTCTTCAGGTGGGGAGGGGGCTCTGAGGGGCCTGGGGGCCTTCAAGGGGGGTCCTGGGGGGGTTCTGGGGGTGTTTGGGGGATTCTGAGGGGGTCTGGGGGGATTCTGGGGTGAAATGGGGGTTCTGGGGGCTCTGAGGGGCTGCAGGAGTCTGCGTGGGTCTGGGGGTCTCTGGGAGGGTTCTAGAGGGGGTCTGGGGGGGTCTCTGGGGGGTCTGGGGGCTTTGGGGGATCTGGGGGGTCTAGGGGGAGTCTGGGGGGTCTAGAGGGTTTTGGGGGGCTCTGGGGCACCTGGGGTCTCTGGGCTTTTCATGGGACTTTGGAGCTTCCTCTCAGTGAATCATGAAGGGGGTTACAGGTGTGTCACAGGGCTACAGGTGTGTCACAGGGCTACAGGTGTGTCCTGTGAGAGTACAGGTGTGTCACAGGGGTACAGGTGTGTCCCGTGGGAGGGTACAGGTGTGTACCTGGGGTTCAGGTGTGCCAGAGGTGAGGCCTGGCAGATCATGCTGGCCAGCCTGCCAGGCAAGGTACAGGTGTGTCCCAGGTGTACAGGTGTGCCATGGGGGTACAGGTGTGTCACAGGAGTACAGGTGTGTCACAGGGGTACAGATGTCCCGTGGCAGGGTACAGGTGTGTCCCAGTTGTACAGGTGTGTACCTGGCGTTCAGGTGTGCCACAGGTGAGGCCTGGCAGGAGATCATGCTGGCCAGCCTGCCGGGCAAGGCACAGGTGTGTCAAAGGGGTACAGATGTCCCGTGGCAGGGTACAGGTGTGTTCCAGGTGTACAGGTGTGTACCTGGCGTTCAGGTGTGCCACAGGTGAGGCCTGGCAGGAGATCATGCTGGCCAGCCTGCCGGGCAAGGCACAGGTGTGTCACAGGGGTACAGATGTCCCGTGGCAGGGTACAGGTGTGTCCCAGGTGTACAGGTGTGTACCTGGCGTTCAGGTGTGCCACAGGTGAGGCCTGGCAGGAGATCATGCTGGCCAGCCTGCCGGGCAAGCGCTGCGACCCCGAGTCGGACGCGGGGCCCGGGCGAGGAGTTCACCTGCGGCAGCAACTTCGCCATCGCCTACTTCATCAGCTTCTTCATGCTCTGCGCCTTCCTGGTGAGCCACAGGGCCCTGCCCCACTGCCCCACACCCCTCACGCCCCCCAGGACCCCCTTGGGCATCCTGACCCTCCCTGGACCCCTCCCCAGATCATCAACCTGTTCGTGGCTGTCATCATGGACAACTTCGATTACCTGACGCGCGACTGGTCCATCCTGGGCCCGCACCACCTGGACGAGTTCAAGCGCGTGTGGTCCGAGTACGACCCCGCAGCCAAGTGTGTGACTGTCCCCTTTGTCCCCAGCTGGGCGGGGCCAGGTGTGCTGGTCACCTGTGACCTCCTGTGTCCCCTGCCCGGCCCAGGGGTCGCATCAAGCACCTGGACGTGGTGACGCTGCTGCGGCGGATCCAGCCCCCGCTGGGATTTGGGAAGCTCTGCCCACACCGCGTGGCCTGCAAGGTTTGGGTGTTGTCAATTCCTCCTTTTTCCTTTAATTACAGACTTGCAGCATTTCTAGAAGTGCATATTCAAATAAATTAACATTAGGACATATTCCGATTATAACTGTCCAAGAGTTATACAGATGTTCAGACAACATATTACAGTACAAATATGTATCTATATTTGTGAGCGTTGGGTCAGTTTCGCACCTTTTCTCAGTTTACAAAGTACTTATCTTCAAAATCTTTTATACTCATATTTAACAAACACTAATAGCTGCAATTGATGTATTTTACCAATAGTTTAGTATTCGAGTCCTTTTCTCCGAATCCACGGGGTCATCCCGAATCCATGGGGTCATAGAGTTTAGTCCCAAATCCACAGGGTCATATAATTAAATCCTTTCTCCCGAATCCACGGGGTCATATAATCCTTTTTCCTGGATCACATCAGGGTCACCATTTGTCTTTTCCCCAAATCACATCAGGGTCACCATGTGTTGTCTTTTTCCCCAAATCACATTGGGGTCACCATTTGTTGTGTTTTCCCCCGAATCACGTTGGGGTCACCAATCTTTAGTAATTGGTTCAGCTGCAACTCTTCAGGGGATAAGATTACATTCTACACCACCTTTATTTACCCACACTGTATCCCCCTACATTTGGGGGTGTTTCTGGGGGGGATTTGGGGTGTTCCTGGTGGGGACCCACCCTGATTCACCCCTCTCTTGTCCCCTGCCCAGCGCCTGGTGGCCATGAACATGCCCCTCAACTCGGACGGCACCGTCACCTTCAACGCGACGCTCTTCGCCCTGGTCCGCACCTCCCTCAAGATCAAGACGGAAGGTGAGGGAGCCGGGAGGGGACAGGGGGACAGCAGGGGGTGACAAGGTGACAATCGTGGCTGTGTGTCCCCCCCCTTGTCCCTGTAGGGAACCTGGATGTGGCCAACAAGGAGCTCCGGGCTGTGGTGAAGAAGATCTGGAAGAGGACGAAGCCGAAGCTGCTGGACGAGGTCATCCCCCCGCCCGAGGGTGTGTGAGGGTCTGGGGGGGTTTTGGGGGAGGTTTGGGGGGTTCTGGGGGGGTCTGGGGGGCTCTGGCGGGGTCTGGGAGGGTTTGGGGGTTCTGGGGGGCTGGAGGAGATGGGGGGGCTGGAGGGGTCTGGGGGGATTTGGGGGGTTCTGGGGGGGGGGTCTGGAGGGGTCTGGGGGTTCTGGGGGTGTTTGGGGGGTTTGGGGTAACTGGGGGGGTCTGGGGGGATCTGGAGGGGTCTGAAAGGTTCTGGGGGATCTGGGGGATACTGGGGGGGCCATGGAGGGGGTTATGGGGGGGCCTGAGGGGTTTGGGTGGGGTTTGGAAGGGCTGGGGGAGCTGGGGGGGCCTGGGGGTCTGGGTGGGCCTGGGGGGGGCTGGAGGGGTCTGGGGGAATCTGAAGGGGTCTGCGGGGTTCTGGTGGATACTGGGGGGTCTGGGGGGTTCTGGAGGGGGCTGGGGGTTTCCGGGGGGGTCTGGGGACCCTGGGTGTGTCTGGTGGTCGTGGGGTGTCCCCTGCCCTGTCCCCTCTGAGCCCCCCGGCTGTCCCCTGACTCCCCCCGTGTGTGTCCCCCAGAGGAGGAGGTCACCGTGGGCAAGTTCTACGCCACCTTCCTGATCCAGGACTATTTCCGCAAGTTCCGGCGGCGGAAGGAGCGGGGGATGCTGGGCGCCAACGCCGGCCCCAGCAACGAGTGCGCGCTGCAGGTGTGACACCGCCCCCAGGTGGGGCTGGGGGGGGCCACCAGGTGCCACCAGGTGTCAGCAGGTGACCCCGCGGTGTCCCCCTAGGCCGGGCTGCAGACGCTGCAGGCACTGGGCCCCGAGATGCGGCGGGCGCTGAGCGACCTGGAGGGGGACGAGGGCGGGGACGCGCCTGTGGAGGAGCCGCTCACCTACGCAGTGAGCCACACCCACACCTGTCACATGGCCACACCTTTCCCTTGGCCACGACCACCGGCCACGCCCACCGACCTCGCCTTTCCATTGGCCGCTCCCACCCACCACAGCTGTCACATGGCCACGCCCACAAACACACCTTTCCTTTGGCCACACCCACCGACCACACCTTTCTCCTGGCCATGCCCACCACCATACTGTTCCATTGGCCACGCCCACCCACCACACCTGTCACATGGCCACTCCCACCCACTACACATTTTCCTTGGCCACGCCCACTGACAGCACCTTCCCATTGGCCATGCCCATCGACACCACCTTTCCATTGGCCATGCCCATCACACCTTTCCCTTGGCCACGCCCACCCACCATAGCGGTCACATGGCCACGCCCATCCACCATACCTTTCAATTGGACACACCCACTGACAGCACCTTTCCCTTAGCCACGCCCACTGGCCACACCTGTCCAAAATCCACCCAGAATGGCCACATCTGTCCCACGGCCACACCCACCGGCCACACCTGCCCCAAATTCACTCCAAATGGCCACACCTCTCCCATGGCCACGCCCACTGGCCTCACCTGTCCAAAATCCACACCGAATGGCCACACCTATCCCAGGCCACGCCCACCAGCCACACCTGCCCCAAAGCCACATCCAATGTCCACACCTGTCCCATGGCCGCACTTGTCCAAAATCCACCCTGAATGTCCACACCTGTTCCATGGCCACACCCACCGGCCACACCTGTCCGTGGCCACGCCCACCGAGCCCGCCTCTCTCCGCAGGCCCCCGAGACGCTCTACGGCTCCGGGCCCGGCTCCCCCCTGCTCTCGGAGCCGCCCCCCGCCCCCAGCCCCGCGCCCACCGAACGCGAGGAGCCCACGCCCCCCTCCCACGGGGGCAGGTACGGGGGGCTGGGGGACACCCCGATGTGGGGAGGGGTCCCCGGGATGGGCCGGGGGTGCTCATGGCTCTGTGCGCAGGCGGCGCTCCGACGGGGGGGACCGGGAGGAGGAAGCGCCCCCGGCCGAGGATGCGGAGGAGCCGGGAGGGGACACGGGGGACGTGAGCCACGACGAGGAGCTGGAGAGCGCGGCACCGGCCCGGCGGCGCTGGGTGGGGGACAGGTACTGCAACCCCCCCCGGGGGGAGAAACCCCCTCTGGAGGGGTCTCTGTAAATGGGGAGGGGGTCCCGTCAGTCCTGAAGGTGTCCCCGTGCCGGGGGCCCCAAAAGGAGAGAGTGGTCTCTGTAATTGGGGAGGGGGTCCCATCAACTCTGAGGGTGTCCCAGTGCCGGGACCCCGAAAAGGAGAGGGGATCTCTGTAATTAGGGAGGGGGTCCCGTCAGCCCTGGGGCTGTCCCCGTGCCAGCTGCCGAGACCCCTGAAAGGAGAGGAGGGGTCTCTGTGATTGGGGAGGGGCGTCCTGTTAGCCCTGTCCCCCTGCTGGGACCCCCGAAAGGAGAGGGGGGTCTCTGTAATTGGGGAGGGGGTCCTGTCAGCCCTGAGGTTGTCTCCGTGCTGGGACCCCTAGCCTGAAACTGGGGAGGGGGCACGGGAGGCACCTGTCACCCCCTGACCCCAGGGGATGTCCCCAGCCCCGACTGACCCCTCCTTGTTCCCCCCATCCAGGGCACCGGGACCCCCGCGCTGGGCGGCCGAGCTGCCCCGGGGGGGGTCGCTGCCGCTGCCCCCCCGGCACTTCGCGCTCGGCAGCGGCGCCCGAGAGGGGCAACAACTGAAACGGCGGCGGCTGCTGCCCCCCACCCCCGCGGGTACGGCAGAGGAGGGGCCGGGGGGCAAAGGAGGGCCCGGGGGCTCCGGTGGGACCGTCCGGGATCCCGGGACGGTTCCCCGGAGTGTCCCTGGGGCTGATGGCGGGGGGAGATGGCCCTGATGGGGAGGGCGGTGTCCTGCAGGGGCCCAGGAAGGGTCGCTGATCGGTGGGGATGACCCCTCCCCGGTTCCTACAGCCGGTGGTGACTCTGCCCGGTGCCCTCTGATAGACCAGAGGGTCCCTGGCCGGGGGAAATGACCCTGCCTGGTGCCCCCCGGTTTCCCAGAGGGTCCCTGGCTGAGGTAGGGTGACCCTGCCCGGTATCCCAGGAGGGTCCCTGAGCAGGGTGGGTGACCCTGCCCGGTATCCCAGAGGGTCCCTGGTCAGGGTGGGTGACTCTTCCCGCTATCCCCGAGGGTCCCTAGCCGGGGGCTGACCCTGCCCGGTGCCCCCCGGTAGCCCTGAGGGTCCCTGGCCAGGAGCTGACCCCCCCCGCTCCCCCCAGGCCGGAAACCCTCCTTCACCATCCAGTGCCTGCGCCGCCAGGGCAGCTGCGAGGACGAGCCCATCCCGGGCACCTACAACCCCTCGGGCCCGCCCGGCCCCGCCCGCCCGCAGGTACCGCTGGATGTGGGACAGACACGGGAGAGGGGAGGGGACACCCTGACAGTGTCACTGACCCCCTCCTGCCGCCCCCAGGGCTACGGCAGCTCCGAGACCTGGCGGCTGGGGGGCTCCTCGCAGGCCTGGGCGGCGCCGGCCCGCGGGCACGTTCTGTACGCGCCGCTGATCCTGGTGGAGGGGGCGCCGCCGGGGCCGGGGGCGGGCGGCAGCCTGCCCCCCCTGAACCGCTGGTACCCCCCCGCGCCGCTCCGGCTGCGACCCTGCGGGCCACACGAGGCCCTGGCACGGGGATCGGCCGATAGCCTGGTGGAGGCTGTGAGTGGGGGACACGGGGGACATGGGGGGGACATGGGGTGACAGCCACAGTCTGGGGGAGACTGTGAGTGGGGGACACAGGGGACATGGGGGGGACATGGGGTGACAGCCACAGCCTGGTGGAGACTGTGAGTGGGGGACACAGGGGACATGGGGGGACATGAGGGGGACATGGGGTGACAGCCACAGCCTGGGGGAGACTGTGAGTGGGGGACACAGGGGACATGGGGGGGACATGGGGTGACAGCCACAGTCTGGGGGAGGCTGAGTGGGGGACATGGGGGGGACATGGGGGGTCATAGGGTGACATGGCTCAGTTAATAATCTAGGGAGGCTGTGACTGGGGGGACATGGGGGGCACCTAGAATGATAGCCAGCAGCCTGGGGGAGGCTGTGAGTGGGGGGACATGGGGGCCACATGAGGGGTCATAGAGTGACATGGCTCGGCTAGTAACCTGGTGGGGGGACATGGGGGGCATATGGAGTTACGTGGCTCAGCCAGAAGCCAGGGGTAGGCTGTGAGTGGGGGAATTTGAGGGGGACATGGGGTGACATTATTCAGCCGACAGCCTGGTGGAGGCAGTTGAGGACACGGAAAACACAGGCACGCCCCAAACGCCTCCCCCTCACCCCCTTAACGCAGGTGCTGATCTCGGAGGGGCTGGGGCTCTTCGCCCGCGACCCCAAGTTCGTGGCGGTGGCCAAGCGGGAGATCGCGGACGCGTGCGACATGACCATGGACGAGATGGAGAGCGCGGCCGCGGATCTGCTCACCCGGCGCCGCGGCCCGCCCGCGCCCACGCCCGCCGTCTACAGCGACGAGGAACCGCTGCGGCCGCCGGCCGAGGAGGAGCTGGCCGACGAGATGGGCTGGGCCGGCGGGGTTTAGGACCCGGTACCGGGGGTTTAGAGTCCCCCGGCACAGCGGGGCTGGGCGGGCTGGTTCTAGAACCCGGGGCCGTGAGGGCAGCTCTAGAACCCGGGGCCCGCCATGACGGCTCTAGAACCCGGGCCCGTGAGGGCGGCTCTCGAACCCGGGGCCCGCCATGACGGCTCTAGAACCCGGGCCCGTGAGGGCGGCTCTAGAACCCGGGGCCCGCCATGACGGCTCTAGAACCCGGGCCCGTGAGGGCGGCTCTCGAACCCGGGGCCCGCCATGACGGCTCTAGAACCCGGGCCCGTGAGGGCGGCTCTAGAACCCGGGCCCGTGAGGGCGGCTCTAGAACCCGGGCCCGTGAGGGCGGCTCTCGAACCTGGAGCCGATGTGGGGGCAACGTTACCTCAGGAAATAAAGGGATTTTTATCAAAAAGCTTTTGATTTTTTGTTTTCTTCATACAAGGGGGTTTTTCGTCTGGAAAAGGGGTGTTTGCCTCAGGGATGTTTTTTTTTTCCCAGGGGTGGTTTTTGGGGGTCTTGGGGTGGTTTTGGGGGTCCCCACACTCAGAGGGTTTGCGGGTGCCCCCGTAGCCCCCAAAAATGTCCCCAAAATTTCCTTTATGGTGTCAATAAATCCCAGTGCAGCAGTTTTGGGGGGTCATGTTGGTCATGGGAAAGGGGAATTTTGGGGTGGTTTTGGGGTGATTTGAGGTCGTTTTGGGGTGGTTTTGGGGTCCCACACTCAGAGGGTTTGGGGGTGCCCCCGTAGCCCCCCAAAAACGCCCCCAGAATTCCCTTTATGGTGCCAATAAATCCCAGTGCAGCACATTGGGGGTGTCGTGTGCAGCAGTTTTGGGGGGTCTTGGGGTGATTTGGGGTGGTTTTGGGGTGATTTTGAGGTTGTTTTGGGATCTCACACTCAGAGGTTTTGGGGGTGCCCCTGGAGCCCCCCAAAAATGCCCCCAAAATTCCTTTATGGTTTCAGTAAATCCCAGTGCAGCGGTTTGGGGTGTCGTGTTTCTCCTGGGAAATTGGGGAATTTTGGGTGATTTTGGGGCGGTTTTGTGGTGGTTTTGGGGTCGTTTTGGGGTGGTTTTGGGGTCCCACACTCAGAGGGTTTCGGGGTGCCCCTGGAGCACCCCAAAAACGCCCCCAAAATTCCTTTATGGTTTCAGTAAATCCCAGTGCAGCGGTTTGGGGTGTTGTGTTTCTCCTGGGAAATTGGGGAATTTTGGGTGATTTTGGGGCGGTTTTGTGGTGGTTTTGGGGTCGTTTTGGGGTGGTTTTGGGGTCCCACACTCAGAGGGTTTTGGGGGTGCCCCTGGAGCCCCCCAAAAACGCCCCCAAAATTCCTTTATGGTTTCAGTAAATCCCAGTGCAGCGGTTTGGGGGTGTCGTGTTCCTCCTGTAAAACGGGGACATTTGGGGTGATTTTGAGGTGATTTTGGGGTGATCTTGAGGTGGTTTTGGGGTGATCTTGAGGTGGTTTTTGGGGTGTTTTTGGGGTGATCTTGAGGTGCTTTTGGGGTTCCCCATCAGCTCCGGGGTGCCATGAAATACTTGAGCTCGCAGTCCCTGTGGAGGTCAGAGGAGCATTGTGGATTTTGGGGCGATTCAGACACCCCGCGGGTTTTGGGGTGCTCGGGGCGG